ATCCAGGCTTGGGAGCCTTTAAAAAACGAGGCCGGGGAGAAAAATCCGGCTGAGTTTTGTGGAGCCTTCAATAAAAGACCACAAATATTCAACAGACTTCATGAAATCCATGTCATGGTGTCCAACACAATGGAAAATCACAACCAGCTGCCCACCCCTGTGTTTTAGATCCAGAGTGGTGACACCCTTTGCCCTCTCCATGGCATGGCTGAGCCTCTGGCACTGCCAGGTGAGCCCATGGCATCACCATGGCCTGGGCAAAGGCATTCCAGGAAAAACATCCCAGGGAGAGTCCCCCTGAGCAGTGTGAGAACTGTGAACAAGGGCTCCATTCAGGCACTCCCTTCCCTTGGGGGATCCTTCCCCAAAGCTTTGCTCCTTGACAAACCATTTCACAGCCAACTCATTTTAAACATTAAAAGCCACCAGACACTTGGAGCTGGACACTGGATTTTAGCATTGCCCAGTGATTTTAACACGTTAATGTAAGAAAATATTAATGCTTTAATCACTTTTTTCTATTCTTGCTCACAAGGAGCTGCTTTCTACCCAAACCTGAGCGCTCCCACGAGCACATTCCTGAGCTGCAGTTGGGTTAAGGTTAGCAGGATTTAATCTGCAGTAGCCATGTGAATAAAACATGCTTCCTGAAAATCTGCTGCCAATTGATTTGCCTTGTAAACAGATCAGCAGGGGAAAAAAAAAAAAAATGCTGGCTAGCCAAAGTTATACATTTTGTTAGCTCCAGCTACTCCTCCTTCTTTAATTTACCCTAATTTCCTCTCTCCTCCCATGATTAAAAAAAGATTACCTCTTGCTTCTCATGCCCTTAAGTGACCTCCATCCAATTCTTCAAGTCATCCAAAATTTTCCATCACTTGACACCATCAAATTAATGCTTCTTTCTAAAAATATATGCTGGAGAGCCAAGAGGCTGCAGCGTGGACAACTGACCGAGCTCCACGAGGTCTGCTGGCCCCAAACTCTGACTTTTTAATCTTCTGCCACTCATTGCTCAATCAGCTACACCTGATCCTTATCCCATTAAGGCCCTGGCACAGGTTGCCCAGAGGAGCTGTGGCTGCCACTGGATCCCTGGAAGTGTCCAAGACCAGGTTGGACAGGGCTTGGAGCAACCTGGGCTAGGGGGAGGTGTCCCTGCCCATGGCATGGGCTTGGAATTACATGATCTTTAAGGTCCCTTCCAAGCCAAACCAGTCTGGGGTTCTGGGATTCCATGACCTGGGCTGCACCTCGAGGAGATCTTCAAGGTGTTTTTTCCCATCTCCTGCTGAACAATTCATTAACAGAAGGTGAAATATTCCCATCAGGAACGCGGGGGTTGGGACAAATCGCTCGTAGGACTTTCCCCTCCTTTGTTTTGCCCTGTTAAAAGAGGGGTGGGCAACAGAATAAAACATTACAGGAAGGAGTGAGGCCACAGCTCAGGGCTGAAGTCAACCCAAGAAATTCCACCCTCTGTGCTCACTCCCACCTTCACCCTCCAGCTGACTCAGCTGCACTTTGTGAGCAGCTGTTTGCAAACCAGGTGACTGAAATCATCTGTGTGATTAAAACAAAAAAAGAGCATTATTTGATACTTGGATTATTTCTGCCATCCCCTTTCCTTCACAACCAGCTGAGATGCCACAGCAGCAGCTCAGAGGTGGCAGCACTGAAGGGGTGAGGAGGGGTTTTAAGGTGTCTTTGCTGCCAGTCAGTGAACCCCAGAACCACCACAAACCCACAGCTGTGCTGAGACAAGCCTGGTTTGCATTTCCTTCCAGGAATTCTGCCCCCTCCCTGTGATAAACTGCTCAGCTAATGGGGAAAACCAAAAAAAAAAAACACAAGGGAGGAAAAAAAAATCTTTAGGCTAGAAACAAAGTTTGGTAACACATAATTAAGCATGATGGGGTAAACACTTGAGTCATCAGGTTTAAAGTGTTTAAAATGTTCTGAGCTCAGGAGAGGTGGTTTCCTCCATCAGACACTGCAATTACTCAGCTCTCTATTCCCTGCCCCTTCTCCCTTCCTCTGCTCCTCCACACACTTTTATTTCCCTCCTGCCATGGGCACTTCTATTTTTTTTTTTAGCTTTCTTGTTACCTGTATCATCTACTGGAGGGCAGATCTGCAGTCACTCAAACCAGCATTTATTCCTTAATAATCTAAAATAAATCAAAATTATCCTGCTTGGTTTCCCTTTAAACTTCTCCCTTGGCTAAAATGAAGCATTTACTGAAATTAAAGATATTGGTGCATTTACATTTGAGCACAACAAAAAGCACATTTGATGTATTTTGGACATCTCTGGTGTATTTGAAGGTGTTTTACACATCCAGTGTGTTCCACACTGTGGCTTCAACAACCCATATGGGGGAAAACAGGAATATCTTCATGTTTCACCAGCCAGAAGATTCATTAATATGCACCAAAGCCCATCAGCTAATTCTGTGTGTGTGTAAAGATGTTTGCTTTGTCACCAGGAACCAGCAGGCGTGTCTGCACAAACCTCCCCAAAACCCAAATTCATGCAGATGTTCCTTCTTTTTGGGCTCTCCTTCAATTTGCAAATCTTGTAATCTAAGACTGGAGTTGACTGAACCAACCTCCAAAGCAGCACGGATGTATCAGCCAAAAAACACAGTCTGGTTCCCATTTAATGTGTCAGGACTGCATCCTTTTTTGGGGGCTGTGAAAACTGTTGTTTTGAAGAGATTATGGAGTGAATCACGGGCTGGTTTGGGTTGGAAGGGGAACTTTAAAGATCCTCCAGTCCAACCCCCCCTGGGAAGACACTGCAATCATTTTACTGGGTGGAAAACCTGGCTTTGAAAGCACAAAAAATGTGTGGACCAAAAGCCAGCCAGAAACACAGGTAGGAGGCAGAAGTTCCATCTTGTTGCTAAGCACAAAATGATGAGAATAGAAAAAAAAATAAATCTATTGTCAGCATCTGGAAATTAATAACAGGTAACAATAAAAACTTATTTGGAAATGCCAAAATCACCAGGGGTGTTCCCAGGAAAAGAGCAGCAATAGGTGCAAACTTGAGCAGAGGAATTAAAAGTCAGAAATCTGGAAGAATTAATAGGAGAAATCCAAGTGATGATCAAAGCTGAACTGTTTTTCCTCCAGAATCATTCCCTTTGGCACATGACTCTAACACATTTTAGACAATAATCCAGGTGACTGGAGTAAAAATACCAAGTGCTCTGGAATAAATGCTGCAGGAGAAATGCAGTATTTTCTTCAGACTGATGATTAAGCATCTGTTTATGTGTCCACAACCAGAAAGGTTTACAGGAAACGAGAACAAAACCTCCAGTTAAGAGCAGAACTAAAATCCTGCTTGAGGTTCCCAACAGAGCCATTGAAGGGTCCTCCACAAATTGTTCCTTATGCACAATAGAAATATAATCAAATTAGCTGTGAATGTGACAGGAGAAGAAAGCAAGTGCAACACTCGAGCCAGTTTGAAAGGAGTGTGACTCCAGCTGAGGGCAAAGCATCAAAGATCTCTTCATGTGAGAGCTCCACACAGAAAACAGGCTCTGAAAGGGCTCCCAAAACCAACTTGCAGCAAACAGGAAATACAGAAAAGTGTTCTGGGGTTTTCTGTTGCAGGTGTCTCACCAAGAGCAAACTGGTTCTTTATCAAGCCCCTTTTTTTTTAATGATGGTTTTTCTGCTCACAGGGGAAAGTCTGGTTTTAAATTATCTGTTTCAGATATTTCACTGCTGATAAGAACTAACCCAAACCTCTCCATCCATTCTGAAAATATATGAGGTTTTTTTTTTTTTGTAGAAAAGCAGAAACTACCCATAATCTTTGAATTATTTTCCATTAACTAAAGGAATACAATAATACAATATTAATACAATAATAGAATTATTAACTAAAAAGTGAAAATAATGACCCTTATAGTTTGTCCATTTCTGAGGTATCTCAGCTTCTAAAACAAGGGTGTGAAGGAAGGTTTTTCCAACCAACATATCCTTTATATGTATAAATACACTGCCTGGATTAAGACAAACTCCTACAAGAGCAATATTTACATCTCTGGTGCCACACACTCTAATTTATAAACAGTTATTCTCACAGGGCAGGGGAGAAAAGGAGAAAAAAAATCACCATAAACAGTTTTGCAAGTTGCAAACACCTTAAAAAAAAATAATCACTTCTCTGCTGTGGCTTTTAATTTAAACATTTCAATGGGGTAACAATAATATTGTAGTTAAAACACAGAAATAAACCAGAGAAATTTGAAGGTTTGACAGTCTTCCTCCACACCCAGAGTGATTAAATCCTTAATTGAAAAAGGTGTGGCCCTGAATTAGTCTTACAACTGTAAGAAGATTTGCTTCAGCTGCTCAGCCTTTGAATGGCTGTGTAGGGGATTACCCCTGAAAAGCAAATATTTTCCTGTAGGTAGAGATATAAATCCCGTGCATTGTCTGAACTGAGGCATCAAACAGACATAAAATATCTTAAGGGCCTCTTCTGAAGAGGAGAGACACAACCACACTGGCCAGAGAGACTCTAAACTCATTTTTCTAACTCAAAAGAAGTGGATTTAACACATATTTTGCTGATAAACAGTGTGTGGCTGTAACAATGAAATCATTTGGTGCTTGGAGTTCATGTGGGACGTGACTGCTGCTTGAAAGCATCTTCTAATTACTTTTTAAGACACAAAGATTGCTTTAGACACTTCACAATAATAATTCTGACCAGGATTAATGTCAGGAAAGGTTAATCATAGAATTGTGGTTATGCTGAGAATAAAATAAACTTAAAATACCTCTTTATTTACTTTATATCTCTTTTTTATTCCTTTCCAAAAGCTCAGATCATAGGAAAATGCCTGTTGACACACTGAAAAGGAGTTTAAAACCACATCCCATGAGCAAAAAAAGGAAGAGGGCTTTAAAGATGTCATTTCCTGGGGCTTTTAGATGATGTTAAGATTTTACATATGACTTTATATCCTTACCCAGAGGATCCAATGCTTTTGCACACACCAAGCAGGGGCCGTTTCTCAGAGAAATTATCACATTTCTGGGCACCTGGGAAGAGGGAAAACAAACAGTGAGACAGAGTTGTTTGTGTCACCTTCCCAAGCACAGGTAGGGGCCAAATCTATGGGGAGGATATTGAATATACAACATAAACCTGTGAACAGATAATATAAAACAGCCTGGACAAGAGCAGTGACAGGAACACAAATTACAGTCGTGGACACTGAAGGACTGGCAGAGATGGGACAGAATAACAACACCAGGAGCAAAACCTGGCCAGGGCTGGGGAGTTATTCTGGTTCCTTCCCCGGGGGTTAAGGATTCTGTGAGTTTAATGAGTGGTATTTGCTCACTTTGCACTGTTTTATGAAGGACTGGCTGTGCTGAGGTGTCCCCAGCCCTGGGAGGGTCTCACACCTCACTCTCCACCTTGTTCTGCTGAGGGGCAAGTGGAGCAAAGAGTGTCAGCCCTGAGAGAAACCACTTCTCCCTCCCTGTGCCCAGGAGAACAACACCAGGTCACATTCCAAGAAGTTCCACCAGCAAGAGATTTAAGCCTTTAAGAAAGAAACATCTAGTAGAGATTCAGGCTTCTCCAAGGGAAACCCCACCTCTAATGCCAGGTTTGATCTGTTTTTCAGAGTGGTTTCCCCAGCCCAGCCCCAGGTTGGTTGTACCCTGCTCTAACTCAGCTGCTGGGACAGTTTTCCCAGCCCTGGGATCCTCTCCCACCCCACTGGCACCAGCGTTGGGATGAAAAGCAGCCCTGGGTGCCCCCGGGCTCAGTCACACCTTCACCCAGCACAGTCAGACTGTTAAAGAGGCCACACTTCTTAAAACGGGGCTTTAAGAGTTTGGAGAACTTTGCTTTAACTGCTGCACAAACAGAAATAAAACTGAAATTGAGCCGAAAGAAACCTCTCCCTTCTGCCTGTGAACGGTGTTTTACTGAATTCCAGGGCCTGTTCCTCCCCAACCTAAACAGCAGAATAACAACCAACACCACCACTTCTGAATTTCCTCCGTCTTCTTTCAACCTTTGCCTTTTCCATTATCTATCCATAGCTCTGGATGTGTGTGGTGAACAATGGAATTTCATTTTTTTTCCCCTCCCTTACACGCCAAACCCTTTGATCTCTAAAGAATATCAGTGATATAGTCTGCTGAAAACTCAATTCTCAAATGCTGGTGCACAGCACTAAATCATTTATTCAGAAGGGCACAACAATTAACAATATACATTTTCACATAGCAGACTCTGTTAATTATTAGTAACTCGGGTACATGCACTTAATTTGTAACAAACACTGTTCAATCCTCTCATTTTTAGGAGGAGAAGTCTTCCCTCCTACACATTTGGGTATTTAGAAAAAGTCAAATGGGTCCCATCAATAACTCCAACATCAACAATAGCTTTGCAAGTAACCTAAAGCAGCCAAATGGATTTTCCTTTTATTCCTATTATTTCAAGGCCTTTTGTGAGTCAAACCTGGACTGTATGTACTGACCTGTGAATTGATAAATGAAAACATGCAGTCTTCTTAAAATCTGGCAACCCATTTGTTGCCTTCATGTGCAGGGAACACATGAATTTGTTCTGGTCCCTCAGCGAGGGGGAAATGCTGATTACCAGGAGTTCTGACACTGATTTAAGCGGAGCCAGGATTTCACCTGAAGGATTTAACTCTCCTTTTTTTTTTTTTTAGGGTTTAATTTAAGATTTATTAGAGACACGAATTCATATGTTTCTTTAGGGTGTAGTTCTCGGTTTAATGACAAGGAAGGGGAAGAGAGGTGGTGGGGAGCAGAGGGAAACCAAATCCAAAGGAATGCCAGTTTTAATCCCCACGGCACAGATGTGCAAAATTTCTACAATAGGTGCTTAAACTTCTCATTTTGGTCTGTAACGACCAAGGCCTTCGTTTGGTTTTTTTTTTTTTAAAAAAATCCATTTTCTCCTCCAAATACTTTCACAATGTAAATATTAATACTGTGGAAAAGGATCATTGTGGGGAGGGCTGGGAGGGCACTAAATCAGGTTAATAGCTGCCCCGTTCATGGGATTGCAGAGTGCCATGTGTTGGGCTCTGTGCTGCTTAATGCAGGCAGTTCTGGGGTGGGATTTAATCTTCCAAGTTGTGGGGGATTAATTCTCATTTGTAAAATTGTGTTTATTTGCATGTGTGATGCACTGAGGTTGCACACACCTGCTGCACACACGGTGTTTAACGAAATGCAGGGGGATGATTGAAATGAAAAGCAGCTCCCTAAATCCCCCCAAATACAAAAAGTATTGAAATCCTGTTGCAAAGTCTCTTTCTTAAACTCCTTTTATTCTAAATCCTTTTAATTCTGTCATATAACACTACAGCATTTATAAAATGCTGAAAATCCTGACAAATCACACAATTAAAGTAATGAAAACTGCCCTTCCTGCCAACGAGGCACCACCTTATCTACAGCTCCATTTAGCTAAATGATGTATGTTTGGGGGTTTTTTAAATGTAACTTCAGTTAGGAGACTTAAAATTGAAAAAAAAAAAAAAACCAAACCACATCTGTGGCTAAAGGAAATGTCATACAAATCAACATTTAGAACTTTATGAAGTCAAAAGGTTATCCACACGTAAGCTCAAAGCAGCTTAAGCACTGTCCTGATGAAACTGTGAACAGAGATTTTGGGGCCTGCTAAGGCCTCCCAATAGTGCCAATAATGAGAGCAACAACAACAGCAGCAGCACATCTTTATGCAGAATAAAAATGAACCCCAGTGATTTAAACAGGAACTCAAAAGCTGCTCAAAGCTCTGAAAATTCCCCCCATTTCCCACGAGCAAGAACTGGCCGTGTTTCACATCTATTCAGCAGTGGCACATTTGCACCCTGGGCTGTGTTCCTCTGCTCTGTAATTCCACTGCTCAGTCCCAACACAGCCAGTTCACAATGCAGGGCATCCCCTGCCTGACTGAACCCCTCCTATTTCCTCCTAGTCCTCGAAAATCAGGTTGCATTTGTGGTCCTGCCCCACATCAACACAGCAGCCAAGCAGTACCTGGGAATGCACGAGGCCACGGGGCTGGAATTCACTATGTATGGCTTCCACTCCCTCTTTTCCTGCTTCTTTTCAGGGGGGGGGGGGGTAGATTAAAAAAAGAAAATATCT